ATTAATTTCATTCATAGCAAACACAACAAAAACAATGAAATGGGGCAACAACAACAACAAATAACCTCACAATTTTAATTTAACAACATAAATTTCTACAACAATGACATACTATATAGGAAGACAATATGTCTTAATATCATTAGAGTAATCAGAAATTCCTATATAATCAAAGTAACATTAACACACAATAACTAACCTAAAGTTCTCTGATACTTCAACAACAAAGAAATGAATATTCAGATTAATATCATGTTCAGAAATGCATATTTAGAGCATTCTGGGAATAGCACATTCTAATGTTAATCTCTTACTGATTTTTTCTATTTAGCTTTTTACTTATTTCAATTGCAAAGCATTGTTGAATTAAATTAAATTTTATGAAAAAGCATTTTTGTCTGCTTCTCCCCCACCCCACTACACCTTAAATAGACCATATAATTTTCAGGCAACGATAGTAAAAAAAATATAAATAAACTAATCTCTTGAAACAATATTGTAGTTCAACTAACTTCGTTGCAAATCACCTTAACTCAGGGACGAAGGAGGGGAAGACATTTGTAACTATTAAACGTAAATAAAATAGGTGTCTTTTAGTGAACAGAGGTTATTTTCAAGTTTTTCATTTCTAAACATACTCAACAAAATACAAAAACGATGATGAATATACTTTTGTAGTGCGAATGCAATGTCACCAACACAGATGGTGGTGCAAAAAGCTTCTAAAAACACTGTGATTATAGGAAATTTTGGAAGTAAGAGTAGCAGGCACAAGGATAGGGATGACGATGGGTTTAGGGTTTATTTTGAAATAACACTTTAGAAAGCGGTTAGTGCAGAACTGCTTTTCAAAGTGCAGTTCTGAGAGCGGTTGACACGTGGAACTGCTCTCAGAAGTGTTACACTTCTGAGAGCATTTATTTAATAACCGCTCTCTAAGTGCACTTTTGAGAGTGGTTAGTATTTTATACAAAGCAATTTTTACTAACCACTAACTAAGTTGGCGCTTTAAAAGCTAATTTCTGGCGTAGTGCTAGCATGCTTGTTACAAATTGTCTTTCTTGTTGAATTGCATAAGAAAATACTTTGGCTCTGGCAAGTAAAGGATGCATCATGAGAATGTTTGATCTAACATTGTTGTATTAGTCATTTAATCCTCTTAAGATTTGCATCACATGATCTTGCTTTTTTCTTTCCATTACACTAGTGACAGCATCACAGGAACATTTTGGTGTGCATGTACATACAAGATCAGACCTATAGCTTTCTAACTCATCCTATAATATACATAATTTTGTAAAATAATAAGTAATAAAATTGTCACCTTGCTTGATTGAGGCCATGTCTTGCTGCAATTATAAGATTCTCAGCAAATCCCTTTGTGATCACGACTTCAAATCTTTTCATATATCACAAGTATCATCCATCCACAATATGCTATGCCAAATTGAAAGTGAAATTGAGTGCACAATCCATGATACAACCATATTGTTGCACTTCTTCCAAGTTAAATGAAGAGCGTGGTTTGAAGCTGGTTTCTGAATTGTTCCATCAATGAATTCCACTTTATTCTTAGCACTCAATGTTGTGAGCATGGATCTGCTCTATAAATTATAATTTATTGAATCAAGAATTGGAGAAATAAGTGTCGTAACAAGACTTTCTCCAAGATGAAGATAATACGAACTATGCACATTAGATGCTTGATGTTGAAGATAATTTTCACTCATAATGAACTCAACAAAATATGTGAAATAACACTAATGAAAAAATGAGAAATAAAGAAGAAAGATAGATCGAGTTACACGGTAGAGCTCTTCAATTGAAAAGCTTTGATTTCATCATGAAACTTGTGGAATCCATAAAAGGCAAGAAAAAAACCTTAGCAGTTTGTAGAAGAACTAACATAAAACATAAAGAAGAAGAAATGAAGAAAAATGATTCTCTTAATTATGTTATTTATAATAGTTGTTGTACAATGCTTACAATGATTAATTGCTAACTAAATTGGGATAGTTAAGACAACTAACTAACTATATTTAGTTAAAGTAACTAGTTAGTAATTAAGTATAATCTAAGGAATTCTCAAAATTGCAAGAGTTGGAATTGTAACTTTAATCATTTTTATTTGGACATCGAACAACAATAAAATAGCTAAAAAGAATTGACACTGCTTACTTAACCATTGAAAAGGAACTCAATCAGTCGAACATGGAAGGTTACTTGAGTTACCACTCAAAAAAAAGTTGCAACTAGACTTGTCCTATACGATAATTAGTCTTATTGTTCTACCGTTTAATATCAAAATCAAACAATTGACTACACAAGTTCTACAAGAGAAGAGATTGGTATTTAGCTATGTAAATAAATCCAATTTTTTTAAATGGGTTCCAAAATAAATTTGAAATCACTCTTATTGCTCTACCAAGTTTTGCAATTTCAAAACCAAACAATTAGCACATAAGTGCTATTTTTAAAAAAGAAATTAAATATATTCTTAATATTTGTCGCAATTAGGCAGTCGTAAAGGTACAGTGAAAACGTGTTAAGAAAAACATATTTTAAAAATAAAAAAATGTTTTCTAAAAACTTAGATGAGTCATCACCAAATTTTATTAAAGACAACATTGGAAAAACTTTGAAAAATGATCTTTGAAACAAAAAATGAGTTCAAGAGTCGTTTACATATAGGAAAGGTATTAACACCCTACAATGTTCGTTTAAATAACAACTACCTTCGATTAATTATTCAAATTTAGTTCAATTTTAAAAAATATTTATTTAACCCTAAAACAATCAATATTGCTATCTTATTTTAGAAAAGAAAAATTTATTTATTGAAATATTGTTTGGTATCTTAGCAAAGCGAAAATTTATTTCAAAAATTGTTTTGACTCAACGGGTCCAGTGGTTCCCACTCCTACGTATTCCCTGATGCAATGGAGAACTCAAAGTCACGTAGTTCAACCATAAAAATCATGAAGTTGGTTAATTAAAATTAAGTTTAGTAAAATAAATTTTATTTTGATATTAAAATTATTTTGATAGAATTATTATGTTTAGGATACAAGACAACGCGGTTATACCTACATCCTACGATAAACAATATAGAAAGCAAAAGGAGATCACATAACTATATTACAAATCGTTAAAAAATATTTTTTTTTGTAAATAAAATATTTGAATTTATATTTAAATTATGATTCACATTGAAGGAGAATTTAAAATAACGTAAACTATACACAAATTTCTTATAATTTATTGGACAATCGAAGACAATGTACATTACACATTGATGTTGTAAAAAATGTATAATAAAATGAAGAAACAAATTAAGTAATTAAGTATTAGTTATTTAATTTATCAAAGTTAAAAATATGGCTTAAGAAAATTTAAAATATGAAATTAATTCGATTCAACAAAAAGAATAAATATATTTGAATTGATTAAAGAAAATATTTATTTAATAAAGAGATTAAAATTTCATTTGATAAATTTATATTACAAAGAACCCAAGATAACGTTGGTACACAAAAGTTTTAACGATTTAAAGCGTATAAAAGTAGAAACGTTAAACAATAACACTATAAATTATTGCCTTAATATGATAATAATATTTTACTTTAATTAAATAAATAAAATTTTTTATAATGAAAAATAGAGAAATATTTTTAATTAGATGATACAATTTAATTAAATAAAAGCAATCATGTAATTGATTAATTTTAGAAATTAGATTTAATTTTTATATAAATTGATAGTGTATAAAACCTAAGATAACGTTGGTACACATAAATTTTAATAATTTATAACGCATATATGTAATATATGTAGAGTCGCTACATATCAGTGTTATAAATTATTTTGTTAATAAAATAATTTAGATTTAAATTATTTTATTAGTAAATTAGAGAAGAATACATCTTGATTAATTATGAAGATAATAATCTAATTTATTAAAAATAATATATAATAAATTAATATTGCATAAAGTCTCAGTAACGTAGGTACACATGGACTTTATCAATTTATAATATATGATGATAGCGAAGCTATACACTAGTATCATAAATTAATGCAATTATATTATTATTTATTTATTTATTATATAAAAAAGAAATAATTTATTATTCATAATATAAGAGGAAGTAAATCCAAATGTAAAGTTAAATCACATCAATATTCTACAAATATACAATAAATAAAATAAAAGATAACAATTCTAAAGGGTAAATAACTAACATAATTATAAAAAAAAATTAGAAAGATTTTATTTTTAATGTTAGAATGAGATAAATTTTATAAATAAAAGCACAACATAAAATAAAATAATGTTTAATCAATTTTAATAACTTCTTATTATAACTATTCTAAATTAAATATAATCAAGAGAGCTAAATTAAGATAAATAAATAAATAAATAAAAATGAGAAAATCAAATATTTTTATTTAAGCTAAGTTAACATAAAAAAATAAAAATAAAAATAATAAGAACCCTATAACAATAATAATAATAATAATAATAATAATAATAATAATAATAATAATAATAATAATAATAAGTAGTAGTAGTACTACTACTAAAAATAATAGTAATGATTTTAAAAAACTAAAATAAGAAAATACATGTTGAGTCAAATAAAAAATTAAAAAAATAAAAATAAAAAATTCAGACCCAAAAAATAATAAAAAATAAAAAAAGGGTAAAAAAGTCCAAAATTTAAAATTTTTAGATTTGAGGGGAAAGGATTTTAAGATTAGGGGTGTGTTTTTCTCTAAAAAAATAAAATAAGGAGGCCATGAAAGGGTGGAGGTGAAGTTAATGAAGGATATGGTTTTGGGTAGTAGAAGTTAGTGTGTGTAAGAGAGAAAAGAGGAAGGGTGGGAGAGGAGCTTCCATAGTAAGTTTTGTGTTTAGGGATGACAATGGATCAAGAAAGAGGAAAAAAATGATAAGTGGAGAGGTGGTAGATCTTAATGCTTGAAAGTGGTGGACCTTAATGCTTGAAGGTGATGATTTGAAAGAGAGGATAATAAGTGGAGAGGAGGTTGGATTTTGGATGGTTGAAGGTGGTATGCTTTGGAAGAGAGATAAAAGAGAAAGAATGGTGGAGGAAGGAGATTTCATGGTGGTGGGTAGCCAAACTCCAATAAAGGCATGATAGGTGGTAACCATGCATGGTGGCTGACTGACAACGCGGGTGGCGGATGTTTGTAAAAAAATTTTATTTTATTTTTTAAATTTGAGCATTTTGAAGTTAATTTGATGTATGAAATGTTCATTATTGAAATAAAAATATGTCAAATAAAATAAATTATGGAATGTATGATAATACCTACTTAAAATTATTGAAATCATATTTTTGCTTGGCTTTGTGTTTTTTCTTCTACTTTCTTTCTCTTATGCTATTTTTCAGCAAAATCTCCTCTCTCTGAATTTTTCAGCCCTATTTGATGCCTTCTCTTTATTTTTTATGCTCTTAAATTAGGAAAAGGCCAAAGACTTTGCTTATTTTTTGTTTCAATTCTTGCAATGTTTTTGTTCCTTTTTTAGAATCAAATTTGAATTTTTCCAATTTATTAAAGCAAATTTTAATTTTTATAAAATATTTTATTTCCATTCCTTTTTTATAAAATAAATTCAGAATTAAAAATAATAAAATTTTTAAAATTGAGTATTTACAGCATCTAATTTGTGTAAATAAAATTTAGTTTTGCTAAATGGGTTTAAAAAACATGAAAAAAAAAAAATTGGTGTAAGTATTTCATTCTATTAAAAATCTAGATTTCAAAACTTGTTTTAGTTTGGTTATAGACTAGACTTTAATATATGAATTTTTTTCTTAGTCTTGATGTGAACAAGTTGTACATGTACATATACACATCTGATTGAATTTTCATTTGTTAATAAAAGAAGTTTTGATTATTTAAATTAGACTCGATTTATCTTTAAACTCAATTTATAAATATAAGAATTGTTAGTTTAGAATCAAATAAAAAGGTATAATAAAAAAATTAGAAAACCTATTATTTAATTTAAATTAGAAGTTTTAATATAGCAATTATTAATTGATTAAGCATCATCCTAGAATCATATCCTAAAAATATTTAACACACATACATACACATATATATATATATATATAAAAGTGGAAAACTCACAAAATGAATAACAAAATACATAATTAGAAATTTAACTATTCAATAATTTTGGTCACTTAAACTTATGCATGAAAAAAAAAAAAGGTTTAGCTTTAAGTAGGCTTAACGACATAAAGAGACATGTGACAATAAAACTTTTGATGTAGTTTAGGGGTGGAAAATTAAGAGGGAGAAAAAAATTTAGAAGATGTTTTTTGAAATAGAACTAAAAAATCAATCTTTGAAAATGATATTTAAATTATTACAACATAATTTTTTAATTTTAATTATAAATATTTTGAAATTTTTAATGGCCAAAATTGTGTCCATTTCTTAAAGCAAATGGAGAGGATCCATTTTCCAAAATGATGGAAAGGGGATCTAGATTTTTTATTTTATTTTATTAAAAATTATTTATATATTAATATAAAAATTATAAAAATTTAAAATATTATTTATTAATAACATATCATAATAAAATTAAAAATTTATGGATTAATTTATTTTTTATGATTATTTCTAAATATAAATATTTTTTATTTTCTTTTTTACTCATCCAAATAAATAGATTTTTTTTCATTTGCTTTCCTCATATTTCATCTTATTGAAACAATAAATCTTTTCACAATATTTTTACCCTTTTTTTCTTTTTATTTCTCTATCTCTCGCTCTCTCTGTTTCATACTTCATTCAAACATAGTGTTAACAACTAATTTGACAAAAAAAAAGTAATGTCAAATGAAAAGAAAAAAGAAATGACTTGTTTTGTAGTTATTAATTAAATTTTAAAAAAAGGGACTAAGCTTATTTCCCTACCCGTACAGTCTACAAATAGAGAAAGAGAGCAAAGTTTTCATTATTTTTTTCTACTGTGTTAGAACAAGACTAACTAGACTAATTTATTTAATACTTCTTATCTCAAGAAGCAAATATCTTTATCTTTCTAACCTTTTTTCCCTTTTGTCTTGACAAATTATTTGGTAATAAGGGAGAAGACTGGCTGCTAAAGGTTGAGTTATGATTAGAGCCTTGTGTGTCCTAAGCAGTTCACTATGTAATATCTGTTCTTATGTTTTCTTGAAAATTCAATTTGTCTTTTTGATTGTTTAGTTAAGTTTATTTAAAAGCTTCATTGCAAAATAAGTTTTTAAATGGAGGAATAATTTATATTTTTAAATAATTCAAATTTAGTCTTAACAAAGACTTAAAAAAACAAAAATGTTTAGCTTACATTTTATGTGGAGAGAGTAAGTTTGATCTTTTTGATGCTTATATCAAATTCCTTTAATATATATTAAAACGATAGATAACTTAAGTAGGTTGTAAGTGAAGTGATTAACGTTCTATTTTGGTGAATATAAAAAGTGAATAATTTTCTTTAAAAATTAAAAATAACTCATCTAAAAAATTAGAGAAGTATAAGTTAATTATAATTTATGAAAAAGTTTTATTTATGTTTATATTGACTTTTTCTCTTGTAAAGACATCTCAAAAAATTTACTCAAACAAAATTAGTTATATATATAATCTATTAAAAATTAAATTGATGAGTGAAGGGCCTTGATCTAACTACAAGAAGCGCAACAAAAAAAATAGTGACAAAAAATGATGTGGAGAGCACGAGAGGGAATATAAAGTTGATTATCGGAAACAAAATTTACATGATTTCGTACCAGACTTTGCACAATATCAGGAGTTTGAAAGTACATAATCAAATTTTATGGAAAACGTAACAAATGCGCGAACGAGAGAGAATTCAAATTATGAAGTGAATATCAATAATGACTTAATTTTTAATAATAATGTAGATATTATACAATTTGGTAAGAATGAGTTTGAGAAGGAGACTGACCGAGGTGGATCTTTGTTGATCGAAACTCATGCGGAAGGGGTTTGGTGGGACATGGGAGCTGATGAAGAATTATGACAACTAGGTGTTATTGATAAGGGACCAACAAGAGGCAAGGATGTGGCACAAAAATAGTTTATCGGCAAATTTGATGGCCTAATTATTAGGTCATCTCATTGATCAGATGAGGTTAATCACGTATTGAGTTAAGGATTAGATTATCTTAAATCCAATGTTATTGTTGAGGCGATATTGCAGGAAAGAATTAATGTTAGAAATGCAATTCACAAGGCGAGGAGGAAAAAGCACAGCTCCAAGTTTCAGGATTAATCTAAATTTATGAAAAATAATTTTATTAAGAGATCAAAGCTTGAGTCAAATGTTTGAGATATGTATCTTGGAAGTGACTTACAACAAGGCCTTTGAAAAAATTGATTGTATATGTAAATTGGATTAATGATCTCTTGACATGTATTGTTAATTCTCTTTAAAGTTGTAATAGGTTAAAATACCCCTTATACTCTAAATTTGTTCTTAATAAAATATTGATATTTAGTAAAAAAAAAAATTAATAATATAATATAATATGTATGAATATAATGTAAATATAGTTTTTTACTTAAATATAAATTTATTCTTATAAGTAGTCCTAAAAATTAATATTAGAATAGTCTACGTAATTTAATTTTATATATTTTATTAAGAATAAATAAAATTTATATTATATGAATAATATTAGTACAAAGCTAGTCTAAAATTTTGCAAGTTTTAATCGTATATATTATGTTTCATTAGTAATACATTTTAATATTTTTTTATACTAATCATATTAACAAAAGGAAATCCAATTTTCTGTTATAAATATATAGAATCCGAAGGAAGAAAGTTCTTAGATATATAGTATAATATGAGATGGTTTTTTTACTTAATTTTTCAATAGAGGATCAATTATTTAATTTAATTGAGGGATAAAAATCTGAATGAAATAACTAAAAGTTAGTAATGTTTGAGTCTTAGAAGTTAATTAAATTAATATATTAAAAAAATACAGAAATTTCTTATTATCAAAGTTTAAAAAGATAATAGTATTATTGAAAACCATAAATAAATCAAATAATTTGTAAAATAAAAGTATGTTAATTTATTTGAACTGGCTTGATTATGATAAATGAATTACTCAGATAATTATGAAAATATTAAATAACTATTTGATTAATCATTTTATAAATTTTTATTTTAGTTTAGTTTTTAAATGATTTATACTTCACGTTAATTTTTTCTTCTAAATATTTATGATATGAAATCGTTTTAACAATGAAATGTATAAAATTCATTCTCATTTCAATTTAAGTTTAACTATAACTTTAATTACTGCACTTAAAGATTATTTATTTATTTATTTTAGGTCATACTTGAAAAGGCTGGCTGATTTATTTTTTTAATATTTTTTTAAAAATAAATTATTAAATTAATGTTTTTAAAAAATATATTATTTGTTTAAAGTCTTTTTTAACATGTCAGTAATTATTTTGTTCACTGCATAATGAAATTTTTTTTTTATTTTTTAAACTTCATTTCGTCTTTAGTAGAGACGAAACTATTAGATTATGCCACGTGTCAACATTTGGTGAGTTCTGTCTACTGCACAGACGAAACTCACAGAAATGTGGCAAGTGTCATATTCTAGTCAATTTACAAAACTAGTTTAAAAAAAATAAAAAAATTAAATTCTAATATTTAATTAAAATGTATTAAAAAATCATAATATTTAATTTAAGAATAAATTATTAAAATTTACATAATTTAGTTAACTTAATTAATAATTATAAAATATTAAAAATGTATATAAAAAATATAGTGTTAAGATTTTGTTTTTAGTTTAAATATCTATTAATAAAAAAATATAAAAAATACATATTTATTATATAAATTATTCAAATTTTATCATATCCCACCTAACTTATAAAACTAGTTTAAAAAGAAATTATGAATCACACTTTAAAATGACAATTACTTTTAGATTTATAATTTTATTAGCACGTATTCTCTTTAGTGTCATATGATATACGGTGTTATCTCAATATATATTTTTAATATATTTGTAGTTATTAATAAAATTAATTAAAATTATTTAATTTCTTATTTTTAAATATTATATTTTTTATTTTTAATAAATTTTAATTAAATATTAGAATATTTTTTTTTCTTTTTTTTAACTAATTTTGTAAATTAATCCAAACATGACACATGGTACAGTTCTATAAATTTCGTCTCTACCACAAACTAAACTCACTAGATGACACATAGCATAATTTGATAGTTTCATATCTGCTCAAAACGAAATGTGATTTAAAAAATTTTAAAAACATATATATTTCATCGGGACAGTAGACGAAACAACTACTGCATAGGAAAAAAAAACTTAGATAGATAATATATTTTAAAAAATATTATTTTAAGAATTTATTTTTTAAAAATTATTTAATAAATAAATCAGCCGAAAAGGCTATAGTTGAGTCCTTATATGATCAATGCTTGTTATTTATCTAAATGGGAACAATATAAAATTTTATCCATATATTTTACATAATTTTTTATTTTAATCACTATACTTACACTTATTATTTTTGTTTGTATATATAAAAGTTTTACACTTTAATCTCTGCTCATGACATGTCATTTTTCTTTTTAGTGCTTACATAAAAAAAAAACACTAATACCATTATAACTTTAATAAATAGTAGAGCGACTCTATAATTTTGTTTTTCATAGAGAAACCAAATGTAATATTTTATTTTCACAAAGGGATTAAAACAAATAGCAAACCTAGAGACTATTTAACCTTGAATTTTAACTTAATAAAATAATCACTTTAATGTTATTTGAAGGACTCATTTGATGTTATAAAATTTTCATACCTAAATAAATATTATAGTAATTTTTAAATAATTTCATAATACTATATTTATTTAAATATAGTCTAATATAAATACAAAATATTTAACATTATTAATAGTATAAAATAAAATATTACATATTTACAAATCTGTACATCTAATGGGTGTGAAATTTGATTTTTAAAAAATATGTTAGATTTAAAGACAATGTTTCCCAGCGCTACACTCTAGTTACCTTCTTCAGATTTCAAAACTTTCAAGGAATCAAATCCTCATGAGTATGGGTTTGAAAAAATTAATGCCAAAAAAAGGCTGTTACTTATTGAGAAAATTCAAACGCAGGAGAAAACAGAAAAAGCTTAACGAGTTTAGGTATAGTGTTCACCTTGAATGGGCTTTGATGGATACTAGCTAACTATTATATTAGTTCCTTAAATAGATTGATGATTAATTAAAAAATGAGCAAAAAGAAATATGGTAAACTCGATTCAACACCTAATCTGAATAAAAAATAGTCAATAAATGGTGATGATATTTTAATTAAATTTGAAGACGCCATGGGATGCATATGTCAAAGCTTGCACTGGATAGATACGTCTCATATTGGTTAGGGCGTCAAAATCATCTAGTAACTAGTAATCAACTTACTATAAGATTGCACGCATTCCTTCGTCGACGCCCTAAAAATTAGCAATCTTGACCTTTCAACAAAATAAGCAAGTAACCATTCACTAACAATTCCACATAAAATAAAATCAATTATATTAATAGCCGATACATCAATTATATTTGTGAAGTTTGAATGGTTATCATTAAAAAAAAATAAAAATGACGCATTCTAACATCATAGTATTTTAATAAAGAATTAACGGGGTTGTTTGCTTAAAAAATAAGGCAGACATAAATGAGCACATCATACAATGCTATATATAATGAACAAATGATAACATATTAATTTCTCCCCTGTTTTAATTAAGGGAGCCCTAGTGGAAAATTAAATAAGGAAAAAAAAAGACTCGTTAATTTCGAGAAAATTTTTAATGGAATGGAATAGTTGAGAAGTAAAGAGAATTTCATCTAAGGCACTGGGTTGCGTGTGAGCTAGATACATTGAACAGCAAAGGAATTAATTACTTGCATCATGCACTCTTTTTATTTTCTTTTTTAAATAAAGAGATAATTTCATTCCATATCTGTCTAAAGGACATTACCAAATGACAAAACAATAATTAGGTTGTATTAATAGGGGAATATACAGTATAAGTTAATAAAAAATAATTTGAAAATTTCCTGATGTAAAAGAATGATGAAGAAAGTGAGAGCCAGAAAACCAAGCACAAGCATCTTTCCACCATAAGCAGCATTCTTTTAGCAAATTAGAGATTAAAGAAAAGAATCAATTGGACTTGAGCAGGTAACATTGGTGAGCTTGTGCATGCTGTTGTATAGTAAAGCTATAAAATATTAGCAAATAATATCATCATCACAATGTGGCTAAATCTCACGCGGTTGACAAGGACAAATTCACAGCTGCCTCATGATACAAAACAACTATATCTTAAATGCTTGCACGTTGAAGTAGTCTTATTTTTTATAATAGTAACTCACATCATCTCAAATTGTTTTTTCTAAGTAATAATTGAATCTGGTTTGTTTTTTAATGACTTTTATACTACCCACATCATTTTTTTCATTGAATAATTCTGAGACAAATTTTTTTCATGTGACATATAAAATTTACTACCCTTATCCGAGTGCTGATTGGACTTCTACTGTTTAAGGCCATATACAATCTAAATTTAATGAAAACGGCTATATCATCTCATGACAAATAGTTATTATTTTATTTTTAGTTTTTAAAAAAATGCTATAAGAAATATGTTTCTTTAGTTCCTAGCCTGGGAAGATTTCAAAAGAAGAAGATTTCAGTTTGGCAACTTAAAATGACCCCGGCATGGACCAAGACAGTTTCTACCTATATATTTTCCATAATTATACTCCGACGCCCATGTTTTTAGTATAAAATGGCAGCAGAAAAGAGTGAGATAGAAAGAAAACAAAAAAAAAGTAATATGCAATAATAATAAAAAGAGAGAAGAGAAAATGTAAGTGGAGAAAAAATTAATAATCAAATTAATTAATTAATTAATTAATCTCATATTTTACAAAAAAAAAATTATTAAACACGTTAAAAAAATTAAAGCCACCGAGGCTAATTATCTGCATATTATACTGCACATGGATGGGTAACCGAGTAATCCTTTGTCTCATTCTCCATTTTTACCTCAACCACACGGAAAGAGATGTATATAAACAGAAGGATATATAATATAGTTGTGGAGACATTTACGTGTATAGCTAACCAGAGAAGGGGATGGAGATCATAAGGATTGTATTAGTAACTGTCTTTATGGTTTTTATGATGATTATACAAAGAGGCCAAGGCCAATTAGTGGAGAACTTCTATAGTTCATCTTGTCCTAATGTAGAATCCATCGTCACCCAAGCAGTGACCACCAAGTTCACCGAGACCCTCACCACTGGACAAGCAACCCTGCGTCTATTTTTCCATGATTGCTTTGTTGAGGTGCCTTCATTAATTCACATTTTTCCTTAGTTACTTATATGACTTGTCCGTATATATGCCAATTTTTCAGTGTTCATTTTTTTAATAAAGGGAAAAAATAATTATCACTGTCGACTAAGAATTAGAAGAACACATCACACACGGTTCACCTGATTGTTCTTATATTGTTGAACTTGTTTCCTTGCTCTTATGATCATATATTTTCTAGACATAGTAGTTTATTACCTTCTGTTCACTCTTCTACTTTTCTTTTTAAAATTCATACATGCAGTTGAACTTTCAAGGTATTATCATGACTTTTATGGCCGGGGGAGGCTTATTCTTCTTTTTGCTTGTGAATCCTACTTATGTCATCCACTAGAAATTTTTGCAACATGGAATTTGGAATGCTATGCTTGACTTTCTATTTATTTTGCTTATAATAATGATAATATGCTGCTGGGAGATGTAGTCACCACTCAATTGCACGCCTTTGTGCCTACCTAGATTATTAAAAAATCATTGACTACGAGGTATACAAGAAATACTAAGTTGAGTTGTTAATTTTTGACCAACTACAATTAACACGGGAACATGCTAGAAAAACATATATAGTGATCTGAGAATCCCACTCTATTTCATAACTCATTGATGATAAAAGCAAAATTAAAACATGGATACGTAAGATTTTGAATATAACTGAGTCAAATGATGCCAAAAATGGGTTGGCTTATAGTGCTAAAACTGATGAATAAATTTGATGACTTAGGGATGTGATGCCTCAGTGATGATCTCCTCGCCAAATGGGGACGCAGAGAAGGATGCCTCGGAAAATGGTTCCCTCGCAGGAGATGGGTTTGACACTGTGATAAGGGCAAAGGAAGCAGTGGAAGCTACATGCCCTGGAGTGGTCTCATGCGCAGACATTTTGGCGCTTGCTACCAGAGACGTTATAGGCTTGGTAAGCAATATAACATTGACTTCATATAGAAATATGCTACTACTTCCTCCGTTTTTCTTTCCCTTTACATTTAAGATTTTGCAGAGGTTAAAATTTCGTTGCTTTTAAATACCCTTCAATTTTATTATTTTATATATCACTTATTATTATCTTCTACCAAACCACTATTACTTATTAAAGGTAAAATTGTTAAAATAAACCATTATTTTTATAAAATTACAATAAAAAATGAAAAAACAAACTTATTAAAGTGTCAAAGAAAAAAAATCTAAATTAATGTCTTTAATGTACTGATCAAGAAATAAAAAACATTTTTGTATTAAGAACATTACAATGCACCCATTTTATAATTTTTAATGCATTTAAATATTAATTTCAATAAAAGAATATTTCTTTTATCTCATATTAGTTGTCACTTAACATTAATGCATATATTTTAAGAAAAATGATTATTTTGACTAATTATTATGATAAAAAATAATTTTACAAAGATACTCCTATTAAAATTACAAAAGTTATTACAATAATTAATTAATGACTAATTTTAAAATTATTTTAACTGTGAGTTGACAAAACTAGCCTTAATAAATAAGGGTATTATTGGAAAGAGAATATTATTTATTAATCCTCATAATTTTGCTTGTCTTTCTCACTTATAAATTTATCTAGTGAGGGAACATTGTTTATGTAAAAATAAAAATCTAGATTATGCAATCATATAATATTTGGGATTATATATATATACATATTTGGAGTTTGAAAAATGTGAAACTACTTTCAATAAATTGACACGTGGAAGAATTCTTACCTTTTGGTTTCACACTAGGAGCATTTTCAAAATGCAAAACTATTCTAAACAAATCGCGTGTAAAGGTGAATTTTCATGTGTTTTTTCAAAAATAAATATTTCACATCTGTTTATGCGGTGAAAGATGAATAAAAAAAAGGAAAAATATAACGGGTAATACATAAGATAAAATATATAATAAATGTAAAAGAAAAAAATATATATATATATATAAATCTAATTTTTTGGTCTGACAAATTTTTAAAGTACTTACTACAGTATTTGTAAACGTAAACTTGAGAGTATATTTGATACTCTCTTTAGATTAACGAATGTAATTTCTCAGACATATTTTAAGGATGAAAAAATATTAATATTTTTTTTATACTAACTTCATTATGTATTAATATAAAATTAATAGTAAGAATTATTTTACGTGAGTTATTAAGAGACAGTAGAATTTATTAATTTTTAATTATTAAATAAATAAAATATTAAATATGTTTTATAGTTTAAAAATAAAAAATATATATCTTCATTAAATATATCTTTATTTTAATTTGCACTGAGGAGGAATTTGGATTTTGGTGGAAAAATCTCAGCTTGGAGGTCCTGAGTACGACGTAGAGGTGGGACGCAGAGACGGAATGATATCGGAGGCATCAAGCGTGGAAGCAAACATTCCAAAAGCGAGTTTCAACCTTAACCAACTCAACGCAATATTCTCAAAAAAGGGTCTTAGCCAAATGGACATGATAGCACTCTCTGGAGCACACACAGTGGGGTTCTCACACTGCGACCAGTTTGCAAATCGCTTATACTCCTCTCCCGTGGACCCCACTTTGAACCCCAGCTACGCCCAACAGTTGATCACTGCATGCCCCCGAAACCCTGACCCCAGCGTAGTGCTTGCTCTCGACCCCCAAACCCCTTCTTCGTTTGACAATTTGTTTTTCAAAAACTTGGTCTCCGGTGAGGGCTTGTTGACTTCCGACCAGGTTCTCTTCTCCGACCCTAAATCCCAGCCTACGGTGCTTCAGTTTGCCAACAACCCTGCCGATTTCAGCGCCGCCTTTGTCACGGCCATGAGGAATCTCGGAAGGGTGGGGGTTAAGACTGGCACCCAGGGAGAGATTAGGAGAGATTGCACCAAATTCAATTCTCGGTGATTATGCCTTTCCCCATAAATCATTCAAACTTCATTGTTCGTCAATAATGTTTCCCATCGATAGCTTTGGATGTATTTCCTGTTTAATGATTAAAATATTCAATTCTGTAGTGATTATGTATGATCCTAATAATATATATATCTATATCTTCATCACTTTAATGTAATTTCAATATTTTGAGCAACTTCTTGTCTTAAAGCACGTTCATTTGTTCACTCTCACGTGAGTGTTCAAAATCACACAGAAAAAGGGAGCAAAATATTAAAAAAGTAATGTCAATATGATATCTCTATTGTGGGTTTAGAATAAAAGAATTATACATTAAGCTTTTTCATTGTCATGCATGTTAAAATTATATATAAGTGCACGGGATCGGAGTAGTTTTAAAAAGAAAAAATTATAATTTAAAGATATTATTAATTTACCCTACTTATAAAATAATGTCAAATAAATAAATTGTTTAAGTTAGTACTGAAAAATTATTGAATAAATATTATGTTTTCTAAAACTGTAATTTAAACTATTTAAATGTAGTTGAATTGAAATTTAGACATGAATTAATGTAAATCGGGACAAATTATCTCTTTATTTAGAATTAATATGTACCATCCTTTCTATTTTTTATTTTTATTTTTTACTTTTAAAATAACAACGTGTAATTGGTCAATATTATAGATCGTTTGTCCTTGCCTCTTTTGAAAACTCAGTGAAAAATAAAAAAATTAACACAATAATTATTACAAAATAGAGATCTTTTGGGAATTTTCTTATATAAAATATAAAATTTAAATGTGAACCCTTAATTTAGAAGGATAAAAGTAATCTATATTTGTCTAATATTATAATATCACTTATTTATATATAATAGTAAATTTCTTGTATTATTGGTTTAACTACAAAATTATTAGATACCCCTTCAATTGTTAGGATACTAGAGCATTCACCAAATTTAAAAGGTGAAACAAAATTTGAAAGACTGTTCCAATAATTATTTAACAATATTTTTTTTTGTAACATGAAGTTTTCAACTATGTTTAAACAAAAAATACAACACAAGTAAGGGCCTATTTGGTTTCAAGAAACACTTCTATTTTCTATTTTCTTTTTATGGAAATAATTTTCATATTCAAATTTTCAAAATTTAAAAAATATGTTTAGTTTGACTTTTTATTTTCTGTTTTAGAAAATAGAAAATATTAAAAATGCGTTTGGTTTAACTATTTTTTATAACATATTTATTTATTTTATATAAAATTTAAAATTAATAATTAATGTTTTATTAATAAAAAATTTATAATAAAAATTTTATAATATATATCCTTACAAATGTTAATTTTATTACACTGTTTATTTAACAAGTTAAAATATTATCATTATTGCATCTTAAAACTAAAAAAATAATATAAATATAAAAATAAGAATTATCATTAATTAATTTTAAAATAAATGTGTTAAATAAATAAATAATCTATAAGTAAAGTGATAATTTATTATTAAAACAACATATTTTAGTTTTCTTTCAAACATATTCTTGCCAATATTGAAAGTAATTTTTTTTGTTTTCTTCAATTTTTATTAATATACACATTTATATGTAGGCTAATCAACACAATTATTATTTTTGCAAGCCTCGTATATAGAAAATGGTATTCATATTATAGAAAATTTGAACACTGTTTTAAGAGAAAAATAACATCCAAACTATACAAAAAAAAACTCCATATGCAGAAATATAAAAAATAATAATGCTCATAAAAAAAAATTTTAAAAAGAAAGAATAAAGACAAGAAAACAAATACTGAGTCTTATAAAAATAATGAAAATAAAAAACTTTGTTAATGTGTTTCAACAAAAAGTGAAAAAAATATTAGGAGAAAAGAAAGACAGAAATGTGAAGAAGAAATAGAAAAAATGAGAATGAGAGAATTACCTAAGGCAAATAATATTTAAGCGAGAAAGACAATAAGATTTGAGTGATTGAGTGAGAAATACAAAATATGAAGTGCGAAACGAAATTTTAGTCACTAAATATAACATGATCTAATTAAAATAGGATAATATGTACAATGATACCATTGTGTTTTCATTCTTCTCATTTTTAAGTGGTCTCATCTTTAGAGAAAAGGTTGAAAACAAGTTTCTTTCATTTTCAAATTTAGGTTGAATTTTGATAAGTGTCATATTTTAATATTTGTCAATATATATTTTGACACTTATTTCCTTTTCATATAATTCATACTTAAATTTCATGTAATTTATATTTTAATGCATAAGTTCATGTTATTTAAATTCAACAACTTTATTCTTAATTTTGTCAAATAATAGAAGATATTTGATTCATTTTTTTTTTGTGTGAATTTTCTTAAGGACACATACTTGATGAGGTGTTTATATTTATAACTTTATTGTGTCTTCAAAACACTTTTCATATGCCTTATTTTGAGAGTTTTTATCATTTCTTACTAATAAAAATGATTTGAGCTTGTTTTATATGAATATTGTAATTTCGTATTTTCAGTCAATCTGACCTCTTTCAACTCTTTTGATCATAACTTTTTATGCAGATATTATTTTTGAGTGATTCCAATTGCATTGGATTCTACATATTCAGGGCTTCAAAATTCATATATGGTTTGCTATATTTGAAATTTTTTTCTATCTTTTATTAATTTTTGAAGATGAGACAGATTTACTGAAGTCACCCAGATCTTCAAGTCTTGCTCAAGCGAGAATGCCCTCACTTGAGCGAGAAATGCAGAATTCATACAAGATTTTTGCTGGTTTTCTCGCTTGAACAAGAATGGCCCTTGCTGAGCGAGAATTGGTTCACTTAAGTGAAAAATATAGTGGTTAATAAAAATCACTTTGTAATTATATATTTAGAGAGCAGTTCTCTATTAACCACTCTCAGATCTATACTTTTAAGAGCGATTCTCTATTAACCGCTCTCTAAAGTACACATTAGAGAGCAGTTAATAAAAAACGCTCTCTAATCTCATTCTTAGAGAGCGGTTAATAAAGAACTGCTCTCTAATGTTATTAAAGTCATTTATAAATGAACACGCTCAATGCATTTCTTCTTCTTAGCTAATAAAGCTAGTCTCTTTCACTGTAAGTTTCTTCTTTACTCTCTTATGTTTTCTTCATCTTCTTTGTTAGCCTGCTCTCTTTGTCTTCTTTCGCTAACAAATTTTTTTTTCCATCTGTAGATACTTTTTCATTCTGTATTAGTCTGTTCTCTTCATCTTCTTTACGCTAATTTTTTCACATCTGTAGGTACTTATTTCTTCTTCTCTTTGTTAACGATGAATCATCTATTCTTTGTTTCTTTCGTTTTCTCTCTATTAATGTTAAAAATTATCCTATTAATTTGTTCTCTCTTTTTTCTCTGTTTACTTATGCTTGGTTCATACAGATGTTGACTGTTTGGTTAACACTAAATATATAAACTTAAGATTCAATTTTGATTTGTGATAAAAATGAAGAAAACTCACAAAGAAATCAATTGCAAATTTTGATTTAAACGTAATAATAAATTTTTATTTTGCAACAGAAAACTAAAAAAAAAAATCAATTTCAAATTTCAGATTTGCAATCTACATTATACTTTAAAGAGCGGTTCCACGCAAAATTGTTCTCTAATCTTACACCTATACTTTAGAGAGCAGTTCCGCCTGGAACCGCTCTTTGATCTTAATATCAGATAGCGCTTATTTAACGGCTTTCTTAAATATAATACATCAGATAGCGCAAGATTTTAGAGCAGTTCTAAACGCTCTCTAATTCAAAACGGAACCGCTCTCATATCTCCATTTTGGCGTAGTGAATCTTGCAACAAACTTTGCTCTGAGCTATTTTTCGCTTGAGCAAGAATTCATTTATTGCCCTATAAAAATAGAAGATTCAACTCCAAAAGAGAGAGTTAGAGCTTTGAAGCTCTAATAAACAGTAACCTAATTTGACATTGCAGAGCAGTGAGGAGCTTAGGAAAGTGATCAAGAATCATTAGGGACACTAATTTCTATGTCTTTTTCTTAAGATTTTCTTATTGTAATGTATGCCATGAACGGCTAGAACTCTAGGAATTGGATGTAAATCTTCACTATTTTGAATATTTATATATATATATATATATATATATATATATATATATTTGTTCATTTGCCATGAGTCAGGTGTGTTTATTTTAATATTAATATTTGTTTATACCCTATAGAGAATGACTCATGGACCAGAAACTTGGGGTGAATTGAAAAACAACCTTAGGACTCATCTGGGATAAACTCAAACACTAGGTTGAACATCTAGGAATAAATTTTAATCTATTGTATATGGAATAACTCTTCCTATTAATGCTGGATTGTTTGATGTTTAGATAAAAGAAATATTACGCAATAAATATATCTTAGAATCTAAGGTGAGAGAAATACAGCAAGTGAATATAATAGGATTACATTATAAAACCTTATCTTTGTTCAAACTATATTATGACTAAAATACAAAATTAGTGATAAATAAAATCTAATCATTGTATTTTATTATTGTAGTAAATTCACATTTTGTCATTCTAATTTTATTGTCATGCATTAAAAAAAAAAACAAACAAACAGTCATGGTTGTAAATTTATAAAAATTTAAAAGTTTATTAATTTTAATTTAGATAACTGAAATTACTTGAATGTTAATATTCTATGTGGATACAACAACTTTTTATACTATATTAAAAACTTGGTACACTTATTAAATCTTTAACAAATTTTAAAAATGTTTCCAACCAAATGTATTTTTATCTTCTATTTTTTGTTTTCGTTGAAAATGATAACAAAAATTGAATAAATCAAACATGATCTGAATAATTTTTTTTTTCATATGCAATTTCATGTCGTTGCAACATGGCTTCTTTATTTTTATTTTTATTTTAAATTATTAAAATAATAATTGATTCAAACAATTTTTTTATTTAAGATAATTTTTTTTGGTCACGCCAGTACTAGTTTCAT